ATGAAGAGGCAGCACATTTTCCCTTTCCTGATGATGTCGGCTGCCTCTCGGTACCTTTGCCTGATCAACTTTGCCGGCTCTCCAGCATTTCCACTTTCCAATTCTCCAGCACTCATCATTATGGGGCTGAAAGAATTCATTGAGGGTATAAGATCAGACATTCGGGTAACAATCAAGCACAGTTTCAGTTATTATTTGTTCCCAAGTCTAAGCATCAATGCTTCATTCCTCTGACTTCAAAACCATTTTGTTCCAAGGGCGGAGAATAATTCATAGTAGTAAAAGAATGGAACTTACTTGATTCCCATCTTGGCAAAGACAAGTTCACACTGGAATGACTTCCCCTGACCTTTGCCTCCCCAGATACCCAAAATAAGAGGAACCTTGATGTTTGGCAAACTCAAAAAGTTCTTGGTGATGTGAACAACAACTTTGTCCATAAATGCTGGAGCAATATAGAAGCCATCCATCATGTTGTCCAGATTGTACCTTAAATTATATGCATGTTCGACGTTAAACATCAGCACAATGCAGTTTTTAGATTGAAACCAAACGTGTTCTATTCAAGACTATGGGAACTATGTCACAAATTTCTAAACTAAGGATTAACAGAATAATTTTATTTCCGAATTACTTACTGGCGAAGACCAGTACTGATGTAATCGTAGGAACTCATGACAGCATAGTGAGTGCCACTTTCCATGGGAGCTTGGAAGAGGGTGTCCACCATTCCCTTTCCTCTAGTGATATCTTGTTGGTCATCTGAAGTGTCATAGGCAAGCCCTCCCCATCTATCCTTTTCAGTCTGCTTCTCTTCATCATACTCTATTGCTGCAGAAACCTTAAAATTCCCGCATGAATTCCTCTGGTTGGCAACCCTAGAGTTGATCTTCCTCAAGCTAGTTCCAAAGAAAGCCGAGCTTGTCACCGGAGCCCCGGTGGAGCCACTCAAGTTCAACTGCATCCATAGTTTCCAAATAAATAGCAAGATACATTTTTAACTTTAAGAACAATTAAGTACGAACCCGGACAGCAAGAAGCCAAAATACCAAACTCAACATCCCAAAACAGAAAACAGCAATGGTCAATTTTAATTTTGATAGTGGGAAGTGGTACGGCAAGGACGGCATTACTGATCACGTAGTCATAGAGGCGCTATACTTTTTTAAAACTCAAAAGCTTTAAATTCAACTGCTAAAGAAATGTTTTTCACAACAAATCCGAACAGTCTAGATATAGCTGAGAGAAAAACCCAAGATCTCAATCCAGGACACCCAAATATTTGTGGTTGATTTCAATTAATAGAACAGAGAGTGACAAATATCAAAGGAGCTGGTGAAGTTAAAGTGAAGATACATGTGGTACTTTAGTTTAATTTTTTAACACATTAGTTGACACACAAGAGCTTCGTTAGTTGAATTGCGTGATCCCATCTCTAGCAGCAAAATTAGATCATACAGAAAGAAAATAACTCAAATTTCAACGTAGAGAATCAAAGTACAGAGCACAACCAACATTGAGAAACAAAGTGTGAAAGCAAACACATTTATGATCGGATGCAACAAAAACTCGAACAGTTGATGTACTAAGACAGAAAAGCGGGGAGAACATAATACCGGTGCTCTGTTAACAGCTCCGATGGTGGACAGTGAAGCTGCCATTTTTGTATACAAAGCCAAAAGGATGGTATTAGGCAGTAGGGAACTTGAATTGAAGGGAAGATGAAGAAGACGAAATAGAGAAGAGTTTCAAAGTGTTTGGTGCGTGGGAAAGAGAGAGGTGAGGGTGGCTTTATAGTGGGATTGCGATGGATAGAGTGAAGCGAAAGCGAGAGAGCAGAGATAGGATATAGCTGTGGATTTTTGGGTAGCGAAGAACTAACAGCCACACAAATAGCAGCGGATTTGGCTGCATTCCGACGTGGCCTTTGGTTTTTTGTGTTGGTCTTTGAACCTCCATTCTGAGGATATACCAGACTTTATTTACAAACAAAATCGAGTCTTCTGGGAACTGTGCTGATTTGAGGTTCTTGCCTAAGCTTCAATCTTCACCGCTCAAATTTTCTATTTTTATTTCCCGAGACTATTACCCAAAAAAAAAAGATATAATAATGAGTTAATATTAGGGACATATTTTCTCAGGCAAAAATTGTATAAAATTCATATAACATTTTTTTTAAAAAAAGTTATGGATAGTCAAAGAATTTTACTTGAAATTTCAGTTTTTTTTAGTGTCCGGGAAAATATTGTTTTATTCGAACCCGGATCAATTTGCTTAATAGATGTGTAAATGGAATAAATGAATAAATTTAGGAGGATAAGTAGAAATAGTGCAATAATATTAATACTTTTGAACAATAGTTTTCCTGGAGACTTCCAGAAAGTTGTTGAATAATTTTCATTTTGGATTTATTCAATGAGTTTATTATGTAGATATTATGTATTTTCATCCTTTCCAAATTTATATAAACTTTATAATATACTATATATGTGCTTTTCAATTCCAGCTCTCAAATCTTGATTTCGTCTTGTTTATCAATAAGAAAAGTTGGTATCTTTCATTTGGGGACTTCCCTTTAATTTTGTAAGTTTAAAAGGAAGCAAGCATAATTAACCAACCAATGCAAAGACCTCCTGGATAATAGTTTTTAAGGAAGATTAATCTTTCGGTTGCTATAGTTTTCACTTACTTATAATTCAATCTTTATATTTTGACTCAGTATAATTTAATCCATATAGTTTTGACTTAGTTGTAACTCAATTCTTGAAATTTAACTTGTTGTATCGAGTCAAAGTATAGGAGATGAGTTACAAATGTATCAAAACTATGAGAACCAAAAAATTAATTTTTCTTAGCTTTTACGTGCTGTACCCAACTTGAACTTCATATTTTAACCCATATTTTGTTTGACTTTAGTTAAGCTTGATTTTGTACGGTTCAAGTCAATTTGATTTCGATGAACGCTTCTAATGGTAAATTGGCAAATAAAATATCAAGGGATTTTGTACCAACAAATAAATAAATATATATATCAAGGAATTATTGGTGTTTTGGGTCAAGTTATATTTCTTTAAGTCGTTTGATCCTTATGCCTCGTTATAATATTATGCGATATTTTACAACAAAATAATCTTGTATAGATCTTAGGTATAATTTTCCAATAATATTATTTGTCAAATAAGTGAAATTTAGTTAGCTAATAAAATTGCTGGCACTTATATCGGGAAGCTTCTCTTAAGAAAATGACCATTATCCGTCAATAATACTCTCTTATTGTGGTCACAATTGAACCTGAAGTCCTGAATTAATCTTGAATCAATACTTCAGGTAATTGCATAAATAATTGCATTTCCAAAAATCTATCCCAAATGAGAAAGAAAGATGGTAAGCCAATGTAGAAAAATGACTAGCCATAACCCCCCCCCCCCCACACAAATAGCCTTACGTCTATCTATGTAATACTCCTCTGGAAAATATATATATATATATATATATATGCAAATATAATACTCTTCTAATTCTTAATACTCCTCCGGCCCTTAATATAAGACCCATTTAACTAATTTAATTATATTAAGGAAGTTAGGTAAGTTAGTTAATTATAAGAAAAGTGACACATTTTTCCTAAAACACCATAATCATCTTCCTTAATACCCCCTCTCCCTCTTCTATTTGATTATGTTTAAGGGAGTATCCATAGGGGTAATTTAGAGAAAGTTGATAAATATGAGAAATGGGTCTTATATTTAGAGCCAAAACCAACTCAAGAATTGGGTCTTATATTAAGGACCGGAGGAGTATAAGATCTATTTAATTAATTTGATTAGATTAAAAAAGTTAAGTAAGTTAGTTAATTATTAAGTTAGGTAAGTTTTTGCATAAGATTATTACTTGTAGAATTGACATTTAGACCATTATACCTTTGATGTTGTGATTTGTATCTTATCCTTTTTATCAATATTTTAAAAATTTTAAAAAAATTGCAACCTTACAAAATAGCTTTCATCGAAGTAAGCCCATATAATAAAAATGAACTCATGCTCCAAAGCCAATGTTATATAAGTTGGTATGGTTTGGGCCCTTTTTACTAGCTCTAGATACATTACAGAAAATATTAGAATTTATACATATGTGTGTGTGTATATATAAAGAAAATAAGGGAAAAATAGACATTTTTTTCCGGAAAGGAAAAAAACGGAGATACATCAATGCTTTTGAAGGAAGGCCAGAGACCATAGGCCATCTCAATTCAAGCAAATTCCACAAAAAGATTTATCATCAGAAAAAGAAATAATAAAATATAAACTGATCTAAACATCTACTTAATTTAACTTCGTACTTGTGACTCACCAATTGTCAATTCTTTTTTTTGATCTGAAACCAATTGTCAATTCACAACTTTATGAAGACATGGATTATTTATTACCGGACTCATGGGACCTCTTTAATTTAAATTTCGAATATTTCAACATGCCCATTATATAACCCTGGGTCGTTGCATTTTATCATACGCTAGATTCTGAATGAAGTACTACTTAGGTTTTAAATATAAAACCGTTTTTATAGTATAAATTATACTACAAAAAGAAGTCTTATATTTAGGAACGGATGAGTATTTAAATACTATTTCAGGTCCTTAGTATAAGATTTTGTTTAACTTTTATTTTAACCCTAAATATAAGACCCCAATTTACTTTGTGTCTCATATTTATGTATTTTTTTTAAGATAGTTCTTCTAATAATGATAGTTATAATTAATACACTTGATTAGCAAGAATATTTTAAGAAAGACAACATCTACTTATTACAAATAACTAACTTAACTTATTTTCTTAATCTCCTCAAATTAATCAACTATTTTTTATATTTAGGACTAGAGGTAATACTATTCCGGTTCTAACTATAAGACTTTATTTATACTTTATAATTTATAAATAAAGTCTTATAATTAAATTAGTACGGGAGATAGTATAACTTTTTTGCCCCTTTTTTTCCGTTCTTCTTTAGATCACCTTAATTAGATTTCTTGATACCTCTTACTTTCCGTGTGGCATGCATAGTAAAACTATGGTGGAGTCACACTCTCGAATCGATGACAACCTCTGACTTTGATCACTACTGTGCTCTCCATGCCATTACTGTCATTCATTACCTCGCAACATTGTCTACGTGGCGCCTGCTCATTGGAGTCATCCCCAAACACACCATCCAAACAAAACAATTCTTAATCTTATCCTCCACGATATATACATACCAAGAAAAACATTGTCTGAATATTCAACCAGCTCCCTTACCTTATTCCACAGGTCTCGACTAAGCCGAGGGGCAGTGACGTTTACCAAGTCAACACGCATGGTCGCCGTGTAGTTATCTCCATTGCATTTCTTTTCCAGCACATCCCCATACCTCATGTACGTGGATCGGGTCTCCCCTCTGCCCACGCTCTCTACCCGATCCAAGAAGTAGACCACCGGCCTGCCGCACGGGTCGCTCACTGATCGGATGTTGAACACGAATGGCTCATCACTCCAACTCTTCCATGTCTGAAACGTCCCCAGCGCTATTTCCAGTTCTTTCGCCGTCAACAGTGAAGGATACAGCTGTACACTGTAGCCCCATGATACCGATATCGACCAGTTCCGTTGTAGGTCGTGGCAGATACTCTGTTGCAAGATCCGTCCTGGATCCATTTTATACGCCTCCACTAGCTTCTTGTATGAGTCAACCCGTGTTGAGCTCGGAAACAGCTGGTCTACTGTTTCCACGTGGTGCAGCGACACCAGCGGCGCCACCGGGTGTGACGCCAGTAACCCATATAAACTCCCTCGTATATCAACCTGAAACAAAATTATTTTACGTGATGCATATAACTACTCAAATGCAAATTTTTTCCAAGTGTGAAATGAACGACGAGGAAGGAGACCTGATGAAAACCACGTTCCTTGGTAGTTTGAACGCCGATCTCACTAACGCAGGCTTGAATCTTCTGATCACCTCCGTACAACTGAGCGTATCGATTGACGCAGCCGTCTAGAATTTTCACAAGCTCCTCCGCGAGGGGGTAGCTGATGGCATATCCGCCGCCGCCAAACGCCGTCTTGTAAGAGAATATGACATCTTGTTCCACGCTCTCTGAATCTGCTCCTATGTAGTACAAATCGTTGTGGTCATACTTCGCCAATACTGTAACTAAGTTCTCGGGGAAAAACAAAGTGTCGTCGTCTCCCATGACAAACCACCTCACGTTTTTTAAGCCCAATTCGAAGCTTTCCTTTAGGATTCGCGTGAGTCGAACGGCGGACCTGTCACCGTACCAGCAGGTGTAGTTGAAGGACGATGTATTGGCGGAGACCTTGTAGGGAGGCGAAGTCTGTGGCCATGTCTCGTTTTCCGGAGGCTTCTGGTCCATCCACACGAAGCCTCTGGTAACGGTAGGCTGCCAGTATAGCTCGACGTATGGCCGGCGCTTGGGCCAGGTCTTGACGGAGCCGGCGAGACCGAACAGAATATGAGAGATATTAGTGGGCTCTCGATCGTCCACGGCAGGAGCGGTGGTTGTGGTATAGTGCTGAATGTAATGGTTGAAGTTGAATTGTGGAGTACGATTGTAAAGATGAACTTTGTGGAAGAAGAAGATGAGGAGGAGGAAGGTGGGAAGGACGAGGCAGATTTTGAGGAAGACAGAAAGAGTGAATTTCCATGATTGAAGATGTTGAAGAACTTTGGGAGAAGAAGACATAGGAAAGTGGGAAGATGAGTGGGAGGATAGAAACTGTGAAGTAACAAAGGCTGAGGTGTTATTGGTCGCAGTTGGACATGGGGCATTATTGGTGCGTACAATGAACGCTGAAACCGATCTTTGGCAGTAGAATGGACCCGAATTCACGGGACATCCTTAAATTAACGGAGCTTTATCTGTAAGTATTCATTTGCGTGCAGTGGTAATGTATGCGACCAGAGTAATGGGAATACAAACCTTATTTCATTTCGAGAATTTTGCAACCGGCACGCTTGATATAAAAATTTATTTGATTTTTATTTTAGTTCTAAATATAAAACCTCAATATACTTTATCTCTTGTGTTTATCTATTTTTTTTTCAAAATAGTTATTATAATAATAGTAGTTCTAACCAATACATTTGATTAGTAAAGATATTTTAAGAAAGATAACTTCTATTTATTACAAATAACTAAATTTATTTTTTCAATTTATTCAAATTAGTGAACTGACTATGATATTAAGAACAGGAGGTAGTATTACTTTATATATAGTTTTGCCCTTTTATCGATACAGATAGCTGATTACATAACTCGATCACACTAACTCATGGACCCTCAGGTTGACGGGTCATTCTGCTTGAGGCATGACTTAAATAACTAATTATAGATATTAAAAAATTTAGTTGAATAAGTTATTTGCTAAAAATGTGTGTTAGATTTTTTATGATTTCCTCTTTAATTACTTGTGTTGAAACTAACTTCCTATGAAAACTTTCAATATAAGAAAAATTACAATTAAAAACCCTGAAATTTGAAAAACTCAAAAAAGAACCTGTGACAACTTTATTGTGGCTTTTGCCAACTAAAAACTCAAAAGCCATAATGTAGTTGTTGCGGGTTTTTATCTGTATTTTTCAAATTTTATAGTCTTTTTTTACGATTTTCCCTTTAATATATGTAATTAATAGAGACAACTTTACAAAAAAGAGAGTGATAACTTTTTTAAAAAAAATTAGCAAATAAAATAAATTAAATCTTATATTTAGTGGTAAAATAAATCTTTTAAATTCTAACTAATTTTAGGATTGAATGAGTAGTGTATTGTTTTAATATTAACTGTCTGACTTAAATTACTAGAATGCTTATAGGAGTCATGGTCCGTCCTTTTTTATTTTTTATTTTTTGGAAAAATTACACTCAGGTTTCACAGAAGAAAATTAATTTCAAAAAAGTCCCTAAAAATCCCGAAATGATTTTAAACTCCTCAGGGACGTGTGTGTAATTAATTGTAATTGTGAAATTACTTATTTACTCTATTAATTTTATTGCAGCAATTCATTTACAACCTTAACAGTAGCTGTTGACAACCCGAGAAGAGGTAATTGACAACCTCGGTATTGCTCTTGACAACTCACTCCGAGGGATGCCAAGTGCATTATCGAGGTTGTTAACCATCTCCCCTTGGGTAGTCAATAGCCACTGTTGAGGTTATAAATGAATTACATTGGATTCAAATTAATGGGGGTAAATAGGTCATTTCACAATTACAATTAATTACACACAGGTCCCTGGGGACTTAGAAATCATTTCGGGATTTCTAAAGACTTTTTTGAAATTAATTATCTCCCGTGAGATCTGAGTATAATTTTTCCTTTTTTTTTTACTAGAAGGAGCCGTGGTCCGTCTGATTAGGCCGACAAGAATTAGGATTTGCATCGATGAGCACCCAATGCTCATCACCCATCTGGACCGTCCAAATTTGATCTGGACGTTCCATATTTATTTTTATTTTTTAAAAATAATTATTTTAATAGGTATAGAATAAAAAATAAAGATAATCTCATAACTATCATTCTTTAAAAATATAATTTTTTCTATTTTAAAATAATTATTTAATAATATTAAATTTGGATGGCTCAGATTGCTCATCAGCTGATGAGCATTGGGTGTTCATCACTTGATGAGCACAAACCCCAAGAATTACGGTTTTGCAACATGACAATATTTTATTATGTGGGTTAATACCGGAGGGGATTCTTGGTCTAAATAAATATACCAGCGGAGATGCTAAAAATTTCTATGCCACTAAGATACTAAGATACTGTTTAACACGAAGCATTAAAAATAAACAGTAAGAATTAGAATTGGGATTAAAAAAAAATTATTAAAAGAGTATTTAGTATGAGTGATTATTTGTTACTTGGGATTGGACAAACTCATATTTATGAGATCGGTGGAAATGTGGTATTCTCCAATATCACCTATATAGAATTACCTAATCTCCTGTAATAAAAAAAAATTATTCATATTAAATACTTTTTAATGATTTTTCTCAACCTCAATTTTAATAAGAAATTATTCATACTAAATATTTTTTACTGATTTTTCTCAATCTCAATCTCAATCCTTACTCTTGATTTTTTTTTTTAATACTTCATACTAAATGTGACTTAAAAGAATTGGACCTCAGTGGCAACGGATTTACAGGTAATTAATTTCAATTTCTTTTTCGGCATCTGCGGATTCACTCTTTTTTTTTTATTCACTCTTCTTCTTCTTGTTTTTTTTTTGTTCTTCCTGTTGTCCTATTTGTAACCATTTCAGTCCACAATGGGCTTGGAAAGCAATTGAGCGTAAGGCCCGCGTGTGTCTGGACTAAGCATGCAGCGAAAATCGGGTGTCCTGATCTCCTGTCATCCCGCGAACGCTCCTATGCATATTTCTCTTTTAAGATTGTTCTTAGCTTTGATTTTTTTTTTTTTGTTGTCAAATCAATAAGTTCTTTCCATTAAAATGGTTATGTGGAAGCTTGTACATATTTTTTTCTCTGCAAAGGTAAAGATTTTACGAGGGAGAAGAAAAATATTATATTACTTGTTCACATATACATACATATCTAATCTGTGTGTGATTTGATTGTTTGATTCGTGATTTGTTGGCCTCTTCATTTTGACATCCGTTTTGATTTTTAAAATATTGGAACCATACACAACCTGAGTCAATTAAAAATATTTTCAAAGTGCATTCTATAAGAAAAATCATGAAATTAGGGAAAAAAAATTTATTTCGCTCAAAAGGACTAGATCAGTTTAACGGCTCCATGAATTAGTCAAAATCATATTTCAATCATGAAATACTAACTGTTATACTAAAATTCAAAGTATTGTAAAGTGTAACACAATTTTAAATCTAATTTCTTTTTTCATTATTCCCTAATCCTAATGATTTTATTGGACTAATTATAAGTAACGAAAATCTTAGTTCATTGACAAAAATAAAGTAGCACTCACCTTGAAATAAATTATAACTCAAGATTTTTGTTTCTTTCAGACAAATTATACCCAAAAAAATCATAGCTATATTAATCTTAATCAAACTAATCACTACAACAATAATAAATAAACGTTAGAAAAATAATTCAAGAATCATGTGTCCTGGCTAATAATACTGAGAACAAGAGGAAATAAATAACAAGGGGTCAATTGACCAAAAAAAGGGGCAATATATAGTATTATCAGTATGAGAGGGTGTTTGGATGGAAACCAAACCATGGTTTCAAATGTGTTTTTACTGTTTACGAAGTAAATATGTGGAGAAGATTATCTTGTTTTGCGAAAAAGAAGTACTTTTGAGGGTTGCCAAACACCTCCTGAATCTAATTTCATTCATTCATTTTGTATTCTTCTTCTTTTTGATAACATGAATCTAATTTCCTTGTTTTAATTGAATTTGTATCTAAAAATAAAACTCTTCTTATATATTTATCTCGTACATCGTAAATCATAATTAAAAATTCTCTTTTTAAAGACAGTAATTGCAATTTCAAACAAGCCCTAAAAGTCATCCAAATGAAAGGACCGGAAAAACGCCTAATAATTATAAAAATTAGGAATGTTGAGGAACTAAAAATTATGCTAACTCATATTTATTTATACTATATCCACTTTTACCTTTCAAGGCAGCCTAATAGCAGACATATTCTTAAGTCTTGGACCACTGTGAAATGTAAATAGTAAGTAGATGGATATTAGCAACACTCACATGTTACATGCGAATAGACACTTAGACCTTTGTGACGGTAAGAAAGTTCGTAAATTAATGTTCTTTTAGTACTTAATATAAAACTCATTTAACTAATTTGATTAATTTAATGAAGTTAGGTAAGTTAGTTAATTATAAGAAATATGACACGTTTTTTCTAAAACACCATCAGCATCTTTCTTAATAACCCCTCTCATTCTTCTATTTGATTATGGTTGAGAGAGTATCTATAAAAGTAATTTAGAGAAAATGAATAAATATAAAAAATAGATTTTATATTTATGACTAAAATTAACTCAACACTACGTCATATGTTAAGAATTAGAGGAGTAATAAATATTTTGGAGGCAAGAAAATAAAAAAATCGCCGGTAAAGTAACCTCTCATCTTTAGAAAAAGAAATAAATGAGCAAGTGTTGGCGTCCACGTTAATTATGAAAGTGGGCCACGCGTGGATGGAAGGGCACATGAATGAACATTTTGTACTGTGTTCGGTGAGACGACAATTAATAAAGGACGACATTTTATCCTTTTGTTGTTGAACCATTCCTCCTCCTAAATTCCGCGTGTCCACCTTCATGTTTAGGCCAACCCCTCCTCTCCAGTCTCCACTTTATTTAACAACAGTGCTATTAAAAATACATACTAATCTCAAACATGGCCCATATATATTAATAATAAAATAAAAACCTAAATCAAGACAAGTAAATAAACTATTAAATATTATTATATCTTTCGCTTTTTTTTCCCGGTTCACATTGTTTGTGCTTTTTGTGCTTCCAAAGCCCCAATTCCAAGTGTATTTACTTTGAAAATAAAAGTCTCGTACACAACTTTTTATCCCCGGTCTCCAAGTCAGGACAAGCTTATGCATCTTTAATAACCACATCATTTAATATGATGAGTACATATATTTTTCCTTCATGATGAAGATATATCCTTTTCAAACATTTATGAAAAAGGAAGTCATTCGTCACCTTTATATAAAAAAAAAGTTAATAAAATTTAAAAGAGCGGTCTCAGCCGAGAGATCAAATCATTTCACTAAAATGAAAAAGGGCGGGGGGCAAATACTTTGTACAACTAACGAGCTTTTTTTTTTTTTTTAGCACCATGGTTAAGTAAGTCCCTGACTCCGTGGAAGAATTT